CCGCAAGGTAAGTAGACTCGCTCGTCCCGTCTACGACTCGACCACTCGCTCACACCGTAGCTTCACCGCCGAACGTCTTTCCCGCAAGTAAGTGGCACTCGCTCTCCGTCTACGACTCGACCACTCGCTCCACCGAGCTCACCGCCGGCGTCTTTCCCCAAGTAAGTGCACTCGTCCTCCGTCTAAACGACCTCGACCAATCGCTACACGAGCTCACACGCCGAACGCTTTCCCGCAGTAAAGTGCACTTCGCTCTCGTCTACGACCTCGACCACTCGCTCACCGAGCTCACCGCCGACGTCTTTCCCCCAAGTAAGTCACTCGCTCTCCGTCTACGACCTCGATCCACTCGCTCACGCGAGCTCCCCGCCGACGGTCTTTCCCCCAAGTAAGTGTACTCGCTCTCCGTCACGACCTCGCCACTCGCTCAACCGAGCTACCGCCGACGTCTTTCACGCTAGTAAAGTCACACGCTCATCGCCGTGTCCTTTCGCCCAAGTAAGTGGCACTCGCTCACGTCGCCGACGTCTTTGCCCCAGTAGTGCATTCCGCTCTCTGTCTACGAACTCGACAAACTCGCTCCCGAGCTCACCGCCGACGTCCTTTCTCCGCAAGTAAGTGCACTCGCTCTCCGTCTAGCGACCCTCGACCCTCGCTTCACGCGAGTTCACTGCCGACGTCTTTCCCCAAGTCAAGTGCACTCAGCTCACGCCCGCGTCTTTCCCCATAAGTGCACTCGCTCAAAACCGCCGAGGTCCTTTCCCCAGTAAGTGCACCGCTCACCGCCGAGCGTCTTTCCCCGAGTAATGCCACTCGCAACACCGTCGACGTCTTTCCCCCCGCAAGTAAGTGCACACGGCTTTTCTACCGGATATATTTTTAGAAAAACTGCTAATATATGTGTTTCGAACAGACACTGTGTAATCAATTTTCTTTTTTATTTCCTTGAAAAAATGTACTTTTCCATTTGCCATAAGTGTAAGTGTTTGTGGCATGGTAGGTTCAACTTTCCATTTGAAAATTCTAACATGGTTTTATAATATTGTCCTTAGTTTAACAATTTCACCTTGCAACAATTTTCTGCGCGCAGATGCTTTCGGTGAAGGCAGCCCAAGTAATCGGCAACCTGAGCTGCGAGCGCTGCGCGACGACGCGCTGGGCGGGCTGCGCGCGTCGCCTGGAAGTCGCTGGCGCTGTGTGGCGGGCAAGCTGGCAGGCCGTTCCCCATGCGCGCACTCTCCGGCCTGGCGCGCCCTGCGCGCGCTTTTCGACCTCGAGGCCAACGAGATCGCAGACCTGCCCTCGCTCAGCTTCTACGGGCTGGCGCTCGCCAAGCTCAACATGAAGGGCAACGTGCTGCACGACGCACGTCCGAGTACGCGTTTCGCGGGTTCTGGAGGCGCCGCTGGCCGAAGCCTCGACCTGGCGGAAGAAACAGCGCGCGCCTTCACCCATTGGCGGCGCTGCGCCGGCTGGAGCGGCTGCGCTCGCTGCGCCTCGCGTGGAACGAAGATTCGCCTCCGTGCTCCGACGACCGGCTACTGCGGCGTCGCCGCGCTGCTCTTCCTCGACCTGAGCTCCAACAACTTGCGAGCAGATCCCAGCGGGCTGCTTCCGGCCCCTTCTCCCGCGCTGCGCACGGCTCTCGCTCTACTACAACGCGTGGAGGCGCGTGGACGCGCAGGCCGTTCGAGGCGCTGCCCGACTCGAGTCCGTCGACCTGAGGCAACAAAAAGATCGTCTTCTGACGCCGCCAACCTTCCACAAGAACGTCAAGCTGCGCAACGGTGGACATGAGCCACAACGCACGTGCACTACATCAGCGCGTGTTCGCGCCCGCCTGCCGCAGCTGCGGGGAGCTCTTCTGCGGAGAACACATCCTGGGGATCCCGGCGGACGCCTTCGACCCGACTCGTCGCTGCTCACCGTCATACTACCTGCAGCAAGAACGCCATCCGCGCGTAAGACGGCGAGGCGCTGGGCGTCGCTGCCCCAACCTGGCCGCAGCTGCACCTCCAGCGCCACTTCATCCGCCGCCGTGCCCGCGCCAGCCTGCTGGCGCGCAGTGGAGAAGCTGGCGTCGCTTCAGCTGGACGACAACCTGCATCGCGGCGCTGGCCGGGCACCTTCGCCAGCGCCAGGGCGGATGCGCGAGCTGCGCCTACAGGGCAAACCGCTGCGCGCCATCGGCGCGCCCGCCTTCGAGCCACTGCCGGCGCTGCAGGAGCTTGCACCGCAGAGCAACGCAATCGCGCGCATCGACGCGGGCGCCTTCCGCAGCCTGCAGAGCCTGCAGCACGTGAACCCTGCAGGGCAACTGCCACAACGTGGGCGACGTGTTTCCTGCACGAGTCGCCGTCGCTGGTGTCCATCCAGCTTGGACTCGAACGGGCTGCAGTCGTCTGCACCAACGACTCGCTGCGGCGGTGCAGTCCGAGCGTGCCCAGATCATGTGCTGGCCACAACGCCTGACCGCGCCTGACCGCGCGCCTCTTCTCGACCTGCTGCTCATCAGCGCGTGTACGCTCACCAAACAACTCCATCGCCGCCATGCGAGACCGCGCCCTTCGCGCCCTATGCAGGCGCTGCAAGTTCCTGACCTGAGCCTGAAGCCGGTCTGGCGCCGTGCGCGCGCGCACCTTTCGCCGAGCTGCAATGAGCTGGAGGAGCTGCGCTGGCGGGCAACGGGGCTTGCGCGCATCGGAGCCCCCGCGCGCTCGCCTCCCTGCGCCAAGCTGCGCGCTCGACCTCAGCCGACAACCTGCTGCACGTGCTCCACGACGCCAATCTTCCAGGTACCGCTCAAGTGACGTAAAATGTCTTCTTTCTTTCTTCTCTCTTCGTTCCTCTCTCCCTCATTCTTTCTCTTTCTGTTTCTTCTTTTTCTTATTTGTTTTTGCTCCTCCCCTTTTCTTTGTTTCCTTTCAGTTCTTTCTTCTTTTTGTTTTCCCTTTCCCTCTTTCCGCTTCTTTTTCGATTTCTACTCCTTGCGCTTTCTGCTGTCTCTCTTTCTTTCTATCTTTTTATTTTACCTTCTTCCGGCTGTGACACCTGCTAATTAATATGGCCTCAATACGTATTGGTCCCTTGCAAATGTGTAGTGTGTCGCGCATAAACATGAGTTGCGAGTTGCTTGTAGAACGTGTCACCTGCACATGATCAAAGTGGCTCAGCCAAATTCTTTATACCAATGAGCTCTTTATTCGGATTGCTACCAGGCAGGCTCTCCCCCGATCCGCGTGCTGAACCCTTTCGCAAACTGCTCTAAGCTAGCGCGAAATAGAGCCCAGGGGGCCTTCCGCGGCCTCAACAACCTCAACGAGCTCAACGCCTGGAGCGCACCGGCTGACAGCGTCGGCGCCTCCGGGCGTGGAGATTCCCGGGGCTGCGCGGCTGGTGGCGTCAAGGCAACGACCTGGCGGCGCGCAGCGTTGCAGGCGCGCTGGACGGCTGCCGTCGCTGCAGGGCTGGCGCATGGAGGACGCGGCGGCTGGGCGCGTGCCGCGGGCGCTGCTGGCGCCGCTGCACGGCGGCCTGGCGCGACTCAACCTGGGCGAACCGGCCTGCGCCAGCTGCCGCGCGACGCCCTCCAGCGGCCCTCTCCAAGCTGCGCGAGCTGCG